CTTCACTAAATCAAAAGTTATGGGCAAGGTTAAAGTTTTTGCGGACAAACAGACAAACAGAGAGACAGACAGACACGACAAAAACTATATACCCCCGAAACTTCGTTTACGGGGGCATAAAAATCTGAACATAATTGAGCGTCGTGGAGCACTGCACTACGTATAAATTATGTATGCAGACCGAAAAATGACCAAAAAAGAGATTAAAATGTTGAAGATGCTGCCGTGAATTTCCTACTCCTACAAAGGACAAGTTTTCAAATGGTTTTAGCTTCAAAGGAATGGAAGGATTAACATTTTGAATTGTTAACTCCATACTTCAATATACCCACATATCCCATGGACGTTGTGTTGCCCATAGTTGCGCCTATATGGTTTTGCATAGTTTCCATATCTGTTCGATTAACTGCATGCATAGACTTTAAGATCTCAATAATATCCAAATCAGTACAAAAGACATTATAGAAGAAAAACAAGATGTGTTTGTGAAACACAATGCGCCCGGCGGCAACAAAAATCTAAAAAGCTATTTTTAGCATACTTGCATAGGTCACAGTCAAGGTCACCAGGTCCTTGACCTTGAAGTCATTGGAAAGAACTTAATTAGTGGAGTATGCACACCAAATATGAAGTCTCTATCTTTTATGGTTCAAAAGTTATGGTGAAAGTTACAAAAAAGCTATTTTTAGCATATAGGTCACAGTCAAGGTCACCAGGTCATTGACCTTGGTGTCATTTGAAAGAACTTTATTAGTGTAGTATGTTTCTTAATGTGAAGTCTATATCTTTTATGATTCAAAAGTTATGGCGAAGGTTAATGTTTGCAGACAGAAAAGCTATTTTTAGCATATAGGTCACATTCAAGGTCACAAGGTCATTTATATTATTGTCAATTGAAAGTACCTCATTAGTGAAGTATGCATACCAAATATGAAGTTTTTACCTTTCATGGTTCAAAAGTTATGGCGAAGGTTAAAGTTTGGGGACAAACAAACAAACAAACAAACAAACAAACAAACAAACAGACAGACAGACAGACAGACAGACAGGACAAAAATAATATACGCCTCGGATCTATCGATTCGGGCGCATAATAACATGTACTGATATAAATATTCAATTTTAAAGTAGAAAAAAGATCAGAACAAGATGTGTTTGTGAAACACTATGCGCCCGGCGGCAACAAAAATCGAAAAAGCTATTTCTAGCATACTAGCAAAGGTAACATTCAAGGTCACATGGTCATTGACCTTGGTGTCATTTGAAATACCTTGATTAGTGGAGTATGCACACCAAATATGAAGTCTCTATCTTTTATGGTTCAAAAGTTATGGTGAAAAGTACTAAAAGGCTATTTTTAGCATCTAATCACAGTCAAGGTCACCAGGTTATTGACCTTGGTGTCATTTGAAAGAACTTTATTAGTGTAGTATGCATAGTAAATATGAAGTCTCTATCTTTTATGGTTCAAAAGTTATGGCGAAGGTTAAAGTTTGCAGACAGAAAAGCTATTTTAGCATATAGGTCACATTCAAGGTCACAAGGTAATTAATATTGGTGTCATTTGAAAGCACCTAGTTAGTGAAGTATGCATACCAAATATGAAGTTTCTACCTTTCATGGTTCAAAAGTTATGGCGAAGGTTAAAAATTGGGGACAAACAAACAAACAAACAGACAGACAGGACAAAAACAATATACGCCTCGGATCTATCGATCCAGGTGCATAAAAATCAGGAGAAACGAAAGATTCATAGAACGGTGACAAAGCTTAACGGGTTGAAATCCTGATTGTTAGGTCGCGTTACGTCAAGTGATTGCTCCGTGAGTCTCATGATTTCGTAGTAAAATTCGGTGTAAATTTTCAAGATTTTATTATTTGGACCTGATTTTTTACATACAAATAAACAAAATATAGGAATTTATTCAAACATAAGTCATACTTCCCAGTACACAACAGATTTTCAGAAATTCAACGTGTCCGCAAACTTTTCTAACCGGCGACCCTCGTACATATTTTCTTTTCTTTGGGGGGGGGGGGGGGGGGGGCAATTAAGTTTGGCTGATTGATATCTTTATTTTTACACCAGATTTCCAGATTTTTGTTTTATGCCATATTTATAATTTGTAGTTATTTATGGGTGCTATGGATTTTAGAAAATATTGTTAAACAATTTACATGCCTTGCTTGAAGATTATTGAAATCGTGCACAGATCAAAATGTACATATAAACACGGGATGTTATGTTTATTTTCTATTTACTCTGGAAGAGGGAAAATATTGAAACGCTGTATAAGTATAGAGATACTGATAAATCCCGTGAAACAACCTCCAAGTTCAAATGATGTTCAAACACTGAGGTTGGGTCAATATTCAACAGAGTCAATTTTCAACTTTTTGAAGTTATCAGGGATAAGAAAAAAAAGTTATCAAGCTGTTGAAAAATGACCACGGGTATAAATTCAACGACTTTTGGTCTCAATTTTCAACGGTGAAACGTTGAAAATGACCCCAGGTTCAATTTTCAACTCGGGTCAATATATTATACAATTATTGCTGTTTTTGAGGTCAATACATTGATTAAGCCATCTGAGGAGTACCATATTCACCGAGCCCGGAGAAATAAGCATTATCAGTCGTATTAATTTGAAGTTTTTATCAATCAGTTGCCATGAAAAAAATATAATGACAGTTTTTTTGTAGGATAGATTTTAAAAGGAAGGAGTATTTTCAGGGAAAACTGACTGCCAACAAGTAAATTCAAAGAATTAGGTCCCCCGCTTTCGGTATCTTTGTGGGCAAGATATCATTTTGCAAACCTTACGGTTAGCCGCAGAGCTGGAAAAAATGTATACCAGCTAGTATTTGTTGTAGATAAAAGTGTGCTGCTTCTCGGATTCAAACTGTCATATTCTAAAAAAAATTACTTACTGGGTGTTCCAAATAAATTCCTAAAATACAATTTCCACTTACTATTTCCACAACAAATAACTTTTTTAAATAAACCTCCATGAAATTGAGACCAGCCAATTTTGCATTTTTTCTGCAGATGACAAGAGACAAATCGTTTCAATTGCAACACGCTTCGTGAAGAATTCTAGAGGTCATGATTTTTTTTTAGCTTTGTGCAGCTGAGATTAAAAATTTGGAGGAATTAATCAAGTACCAATCGCAGCTTTTCGGCGCTTTAACAGATTTTTGTTTGGGTTGCACTGTAGCCACTTCGGTCGTCTATCTCATTTTTTCTCAGACCAGCAAGTTATAGAAATGCCTCTGCCTTACGGTTACAAAAAAAATTGGGGGGGGGGGGGTGTCTACATAAAAAATTAAAAACATGAATCAAAACTAAAGCAAAAGACTATTTTCAAGAAATAAAGTACACGCTAATTGGCATACTACGTGCCTGAGATGTAACTCGATAAATGTAGACTACATTTCTTAGGATGCAAACGTTGACTGGTCTCAATTTCAAGCAAGAGGGTTATTATAGAGAAAACAAGATGTGTTTGTAAAACACTGATGCCCCCGTATGGCAACATAGCAAAGATTAAGCTTTTATTAAATGCAAATTTAATTAATTGGTACCAAATGTAGGGTATTCTCACTGGAAAACAATTGTGAAATTTGAAAGTAAGCTAATGTTAAAGGTTTATAATAAGTACAAAAATCGTCAAGGTCAATGTAATTAGTATCAAATGAAAGGTCTTGCCACATAAAATACTTATGTAGAGCATGAAAGCCCTAGCCCTAACCGTTCAGAAGTTATGATTAACGTTTAATTTCTTAAAAAGTAGCCAAAAACTCCAAGGTCAAGGTCAAAGCATCAAAGTTATTGTTATCAAATGAAAGGTCTTGTCATAAGGATCAAATATGTAAAATATGAAAGGAACTAGCCCTAACTCTTTAAAAGTTATGGTCAAGTTTGCTTTTTTAAAGTAGGTCAATATCAAAGGTCAAGGATCTTCGTATCCAATGAAGGGTATTTTCACAAGGATTACATAATATATGAAGTATAAAAGCCCTATCTCTTACTGTTCAAAAGTTATGGCCAAGGTTAAAGTTTTTCACAAGTATAGAAATCTACAAGGTCAAGGTCAAAGGGTCAAGGTTGTTAGTATCCAGTGAAAGGTATTTTAACAAACATTACATATGTGAAGTATAAATGTCCTGGTGTCTACTTTTCAAAAGATATGGCCAAAGTAAAATTTTAAAATTTTTAATGTAAATTTGAGTCAAACTCCAAGGTCAAGGGGTCAAAGTTAGTATTATCAAATGAAAAGTCTTGTCACAAGAATCAAATATGTAAAGTATGAAAGCACTAACCCTAACTCTTTAAAAGTTATGGTCAATGTTTGCTTTTTTAAAGTAGGTCAAACTCTAAGGTCAAGGTCAAAGGGTCAAAGTTGCTGATATCGAATGAAAGGTCTTGACACAAGGATTACATATATGAAGTATTAAAGCTCTAGCCCTTACTGTTCAAAAGTTATGGCCAAGGTTAAAGTTTTTTACAAGTATAGAAATCTACAAGGTCAAGGTCAAAGGGTCAAGGTTGTTAGTATCCAGTGAAAGGTATTTTAACAAACATTACATATGTGAAGTATAAATGTCCTGGTGTCTACTGTTCAAAAGATATGGCCAAAGTAAAATTTTAAAATTTTCATGTAAAAGTGGGTCAAACTCAAAGGTCAAGGCCAAAAGGTCAAATTTGGTGGTACCCAAAGAAAGGTCTTGTCACAAGGAATACACATATGAAATATGAAAGTCATAGCTCCACAAAATCAAAAGTTATGGGAAAGGTTAAAGTTTTTGCGGACAAACAGACAAACAGAGAGACAGACAGACAGACAGACAGACAGACAGACGACAAAAACTATATACCCCCGAAACTTCGTTTACGGGGGCATAAAAAATTAGAAATTGAAATATTATTTCTTATTCCGCCCTTAAAAATATCATAGACACGAACATTTCCAGTGACGTGTAAATACATATCGGGATCGAAATACCAAAAATACTGCCAATCAAAAGTCCTCAAGTCCAAAACGCAGACGATGAAAATGGTGAAACAAGTATATTAGTCACTGTAGAAAGCAATAATTTTGGGAGGAACACGTGTGAAATAATCGGTAATCAAAGTAAGGTCATATCTCCTTGACTTAACCTGTGTTTTGGTTTGTTTAGGATAGATAGTGTGTAAGTTGTTAACAAGGAAGTGAATAATCAATAGGATTTGTCTTCCGCATTATTGAATGTAAAATCACAGGGAATTTCCACCCAACGGCTCTTGTCATCGGAAATTTAACTACATTTTACAATTTTTTTTCGGAAATTATAAAGCAAGAAGTCTCTCAAGAAATTAGCTATTATGCTGCATAAAATTTATTTTTTACTTTATTATTCAGAACTAGCCTACAATTAAGTAATATGTTTTACGGTGTGACCGTTGGGACGAGCGCAGTTATCAGTCTAGTCGAACCCTCAACGAGGGTAAACCGATGTTGGACATCCGTACCCTCAAACGGGGGTACGGCGCATGCGCAGAAACTCAAAAAGGGCTGTTTTCACGGAAAAAACGTGTGGTCCACAAAATATGCTCGTGCAAAGTGATGGATTATTTCGTAGCTCTGTATGTACTCAAATTTGAAAGATTAAAGATGTTTAAAGAGAGTGTATTAGGAAAAAGTATATGTTTATTGTAAAAATCGAGACTTTTTCTCTCCCAAAGTTAGCGTATTCTGTGCCTTGACCTCCATGTTTGATACAACTAGATTTTTTTATGCATAATTTAATAAAACGGATGAATAAACAAACAATTTTTTGTTTAAAGTGTAGTATGGAAAGGAGGAATGAATAATCATTCATTGAAAATTCATAAATACATATATATTGAAAACATATGGCTGGACCGGGAATCGAACCCGGGACCCCTGTATTTCAGTCAGGTGCTCTAACCACTGAGCTATCCAGGCCGATGTCCTCAGTCCAGCCCAATTTCCTACATTCCCCCTTCCTTAAATAGTCTTCGACCCCGAAGACACAACTCAAGTTCACCTTGTCAGGACTTTAACATTAGTAATTATACATTGCCTGAACAAGGTAGGCCACGGCACCATCTGTAGTATGGAAAGGAGGAATGAGTAATCATTCATTGAAAATTCATAAATACATATTATATTGAAAACATATGGCTGGACCGGGAATCGAACCCGGGACCCCTGTATTTCTAGTCAGGTGCTCTAACCACTGAGCTATCCAGGCCGATGTCCTCAGTCCAGCCCAATTTCCTACAAAAGTTAAACTACATATAATTCCATTCCCCGGTATTACAAATTTTGTGTAATGAACATGTTATTTATTATTTTTCGACACTTTCTTCTGTGCCCGTTCGAATTTCCTCTGTCTTGTAAACAAACTTTTGTGCTTTGACACTTTCTTCTGTGCCCTTGAATTTCGCACGTTGCATTAAGGGAATTAAAACCCTCGTTTGGGGGTATACCCTCGTTTGAGGGTTCGACTAGACTGGTTATGACCATCAAAAACAGTTGTAAACTTGGAAAGCTACTTCAAACATCAAGCTGCACGAGACATCTCGACTATCTGTGATGTCACGCGACGTCACGGAGCTCATCGGAGCTTACAGAGACAGCCGAGCGTCTGGTTGAAACTATAGATCTAGTGCACTTTTGGTCGAAAAACATTGAAGAGTCATTTATTGTTTCTTTGAAATATTTCTACAAACTGAAAGCCTTTTATGCTTTATGTTATTACTTATTTATTTATTTATTCGCGCAAAGGACATTGGGTAGTAAAAGAATTCTGGAAATGTTTCACAACAAAATTTGCCTGACGTATGTACGGATTCCATTCCGAATTTCCTCTGTTCTTACACGTTAGTCTATTGAGCTCACTTCAAAATCTTGAATCTTCTTTAAATACACCTAAAATGTTGTTGAAATAAAGATTTTGGCACTCATAGTCAAGAAAAACCACTTTAAAATCAGACGTGCTACAGTTAATCTCAGCAAGATGGCGTAAGGACTAAAATTAGGTCTGCATGGTGTCCCTCGACATGTCAGATCAATGTCATACAACGTGATTAGGGCTTTCTTGCCCCGAACTCGACTACTTGTTTCAATCAATAGGGGCTGAAATGAATTAGCTTCCCACTTCAGTTTTTTCTTTGCAACTTTCCTCTCTTACTTTTAAAAGGTTTTAATTCAACAAAATATAAAGTTGTTGAATTTTCCCAGAAATATTCCATTCATGTTTGCCTTTCTTAAAACAGAAACTTATTCCAAAATAGCTAAATATAGCTATATTTTATAGGTAAATAAAGCTATATAGGTAGATATACCTACATGTATATATATAGCTAAATATAGTGATTTTCCTGGACCTGTTATATCCGTGTAAGGAATTCGTGAAATTTATATAGATGGAGGAGATCAAAGATGAGTTCGCTATATCTGTGAAATTCGCAATATCCGTGCTCGTACTAAATTAGTTTTACTTTAGTAGTAGAACGAAGTATTCGAAGCAGGCTATTGCAGAACTCTTCAGCATTGGAGGGTTAAAGGAATGGGATATTTTCATGAAAAATCAACAAGTTTATATTTTGTTGGCATGTAAACCCTTTGATGGAGGGGGGGGGGGTTGGGGGGTCACATAAAGACATCAGTTTTATACTTGAGAATGCATATAAAAAATGGTTTTTTTTTTAAATCTATTAAAAATGATTATAAAGAAACATCCCAAAGCAGTGTAAATGAAAGCTTGTTTAAAGGATGACGCTCCAGGAGTAGGGTGAGGCAACAATAGTGGATCTAAGTTTCGCGTAATGATATAGGAAATGCCTTATTTTCTCAAGAACAACAAAGCAATTATTACTCATATTAATATTGAAGTATCCTCAAGTGGTGTAGATTTCATTATTTGTTCGTCATGACAGTAGATAAGGCCAAAATAAAAAATACTCTTGTTTCCTGACACCCGACTTACCCTACATTTTACCCTCCGACCCTAAAAGTTTTTATCACATTTTCATTTTTTGGGTGACTTTTTTCCTGAAATACTGAAGTCGATTGTGACCAACAATATTTACAGAACTAATACATCACAAGTGTACAGATTACCTTTACTTTATAAATCTTTATTAACAAACTTGCTTTGTAAACTGGTAACATTGTTTTCTTGTTATTACATGCTATATGTTCTGCATTCATTGAGATTTGAAAATAAAATTTTTTCTACCTACCTACACTAATTTTTTTGGTTAGGGGACAGGAAACATGAGTATTTTTTTTCTTTTGGCCTAAATATATAGGGAAAAATCCATTAAAGCCATGATTAGTTAGTTCCCTAACATGATATATATCTACATCCATAAACATACCCCAAGAAAACCTTGATTAAATATTTGGATCTATCATAGCGTTTCATAAGCTAAATGGTTCATTATTTATATATAGGTTAATTGTCTCAATTTATTTCGACAGATTCCCCAGAATCCTACTATCGAATTGTCTAGAAGAGGAAAGAATCATCTCCTTACAGGTTTCTTTTCAAAAACCTCTTACAAGGGTACATGTATATCAATTGACCCATATGTAAGCATTAATTTACATTGTAATTGTATTTAAATGCTTAGGTATATACTTCAAGTCTTTTATACATGTATTTATCAACATAAAACTTAAAAAGCATATATTATTCGCATTTTAACACTTATGGTGTATTACAAGCTCAAGGACTCTTTATTTTCATATATATGTATATAGGTTATATATATAATAGTCTTTATTTATTTTGACAGATTCTTCAGTGTGTAATATCCAACCATTGTCAGGGAAAGGGAAGCATCATCTCCTTCCAGGTTTTTAAATCTTTTTTACCTACAGGATATTCAAAGTTTTGTATCTGAATGTAAAAGATCACAAACAGAACTCTGTAGGTCACCGGACCTGTTGCTATCTGTTTTTGTCCATTGTCGTATGTTAGATTTTAAACATTTGTGGCTCTTTCTTTGCAAGCAGCAACTGCCAAACCAATTTCAACCAATTTTGGCATAAACCATCAATGAGTTAAGGGTAACAACAATTGTGAATTTTGAGGTCCCTGCCCTCCCCCCTCCCCCTGGCCCCTGGTCCAGGAGTTCTAGTGCTAGAAGGGGATAAATAAATGATGTGCTGAACATGCATTATTTCTTTGAAAATCTTCTCTGTCCATGGGTGTTAAATAGACCAAATACATAGTTCTGATGAGCAAGAATGTCTATTTTAATTTCATGGCCTAAGGTACGTTAGGAGTTCTGGTGTTAGGGTGGGGCTTTAGTGATTATATTGTAAAAATACATTAATTCTTTGAAAATCTTTTTCTCTACCCTTGAGTATTAAACAAACTATTTAGTTATGATAAGCAAAATTGCCCAAAATTGTAAATTTTATGCCCATGGGTCAGGGGTTTTGGTGTTAAGGTGGAGCTCTGCCATTTGTTTAAAATTATTTTACAGATTTCAAAGTTTGTCCGACTTCCGTCCTTCCTCCTGTCCGTCTGTAAACTTTCACATTTTCAATTTCGCGTCAACCACTGGGCCAGTTTTAACCCAACTTGGTACAAAATATTCTTTGATAAAGGGAACTTTAAATTCTTAAATGAAGTTAAAATTAAGGGCCATGCTCCCCCCCTCCCCCTCAAAGGGAAGATATTCAAAAAAAGACAAAAATAGATTGGAGTCTATAAAAAATCTTCAAGAACTACTGAGCAAGAAAAGCTGAAACTTTTGTAGAAACATTCTGGTGTAGTGTAGAATCTAACTTGTCCAAATTGTAAACTTATATGGGAGCATATTCTAGGATATATAGAATATCACACTGCTGTTTTGATCTCGGCCCTGGTATCAGCCCAAGCGGTTGGTATCGGCCCAAGCCTGGAGGGCGCGGGCCGAGACCACCCGAGGGCTGATACCAGGGACGAGATCAAAACAGTGGTGTGATGTTGTTTATATCATATATCTACAAAACAAAGAATAAATGATTATTTCAATCAAAAAGTTTATTCAATTTTGTCGTAAAAAATTTGAGTTAACTGTTATCTTTCTTTATTTCGATGTTCCTGAAGATGTTGCTTGATGCTGAATAATCATATAGAGAAAGATTTGCCTGGTCTGGTCATTAAAAAGAAAAGTCCTGCATGGTGTTTTGAAACATTTCATTTTGAAGCACATTAATTTACATAGATAGAAATTTAAACGTCCAAAGGTAAGGCTAAAAATATTCTACATTCACTTTGGATCGAACCGGGGTTACAACTTCATCAACGAATCATTACAATTTGTAAATCTGAGATTTATAGTACATGTTACTTTTGTTTATGATGTATATTAATTTAAAAATGGCACTTTATAAATAAAAAACTTGGTACTGTCTTACTGTCAAAGCAAATAAACGTCCATTTTTTTCAAAACATGGGTTTTTGCTGTCCAGGAAGTAAACAAGAGTTACCTCTTCTAGTCACAAGTGCTACCATTTGGCGCACTTTTTAAAAACAATTTTCTCAAAATTCTAGCATAAATAAATAAATAATTTATAAAGATTCTAGTTAAATTTTTCGATTTATAACGTTTCTCTTTGATACTTAAATTATGAATTTTACTCTTAATTCACACAAATTAAGCAGAAATAGTGCTTTGAAATTTGAGGGCGAGACAGCCCCTTGACGACGGGCCGAGACAGAGATATCTCAGGCGAGACAGCCCTACTTCCCAGGAGCTGTCTCACCTAGTCCAAAACGCCTGTATCAGGGCTGATACACTACTAGGTATATGATATAGTGTAGATTATAAATTGTTTTCAATTAATGACCTCAGCGGTAGGGTGGGCCACAATAGGGAATCCAATTTTAACATTTAAGTAAAGGGGAACAAACTTTTAAGATTTTCACAAGAACCACTGGGCCAGAAAGCTGAAACCTATGTTGTAGCATCCTGGGATAGTGTAGATTCTAAATTGTTCAAATCATGACTTCTGGGGATAGGGCGGGGTCTCAATAGGTCTTATTCTTATATACTGGAAAATCTGTTAAAGATCAGAGTTACTCAGGTGAGTGATGTGGCCTATGGGCCTGTTGTTTAAAAATTGCTGAAACCACAAATCCCTGTCAGATGAAAGCTATCATTAGAATTTTTTTTTAATTTCATAATGAAGACAACTTTCTTTTTATTTAAATAATATAAGCTGAAGAGATGTATTTTTGTAAAAATGGTGAATATAATGATATATTCTTTATTTTCTTTACCCAGAACACAGTAACAAGATGAATGGAGGCTACCTTTACATGTATACAGTTTCTACCAGATACAAGAAATCAGTGTGGTGATGGTATACAATTCTCTGTTACTATTTATAACCATGTCACAACATAATGTAGATCATACCTATATGTACCTATTTAGTCACGATCACGAAAATCTACATTTAATACTGCTCATTGACAATGTTGTAAATCTATAAAGAAGACATAGTTTATCATGTTTTAGCATGATGTGTAAATTATAAAGTTCTTCTCTCTTCTACTGGATATAGTTGACATTTAATATTTCAAATAAATTCATTATCCTGATATATGAAAAAAAACTGTAATTGGTATAAATGTTTTTTTTTATTTTTTTTTTTCATTGAAAACGTCTTCAGTTGATAAATTATAATACTTGTAACCTTAGAAATCTAAACCATCAGTTTCAACAATGTTATTATTTATCAATATTGAATTTTTAGATCAGACTTATGGTGAACAGTTGTACCCTGCTAGAGAGATCCTGATTAAAAAAAAGTACTCAGTGTAAAGGTATTTAATTGTATTTATCTTTTTCTTAATTCAATTTTATTCTTCATGTTATTAAGACTAAGACAATGATATATGCTTACAGAGAGATTTGTAAAGGATTCAGTACTCAGTGTAAAAGTATTTATGTTTTTCTGTATCTATAATATAATATTCTTTATGTCATTAAAACTAAGACATTGATGTATGCCTACATTATAAAAAGAGATGTGATATATGCCTACAATATATGGAGAGACATGTAACTGATGTAGATAATTCTGTTACAATGTTGTAATTTACAGAGAGATCTCCCTGACTGAGGAAATCCACACAGGATTCTGTTATAAAACACCAGGATAAAGAAATAGAGGTCTGCTGTCAATAATGTATAGATTTGTGTACCAGAAATCTGTCACCGTGTCTGGTGTTAGTCGGTGTCGTCATATTTCACGTGTTACATCAGACCGGGTCTGGATCAGTGATAGTGGCAATCTTATACTGACTAACACTAAAGGAGAAGAACTAGATCGCGTGACAGATATAGAAAGTAATTATGGAGTACACACTGTGAATTCTTACGGTGATCTAATCTACATAGACAGGGAATTAAACATTGTTAAACTGTCTACAGAGAACAAAGAAAAGACTACGATAATAAAATACAACACATCACCATGGGAACCACGGAGGGTCTACAGCTCCCCCTCCACTGGAGACCTGCTGGTCGCGATGTCTAGATATGATACAATGAGACAAGGCAAGGTAGTGCGGTATAACTCCACAGGAGAAAACATCCAGACCATACAACACAACAATAACACAGGTCAGGGACTGTATAGTAGATCTCTCTACATAACAGAGAACCGCAATGGAGATGTTATTGTGTCTGACTTGTACCGTGCTGTAGTGGTGACAGATCGTGACGGTAATTACCGCTTCTCCTACACAGGTCACCCATCAGGATCACGACTAATACCTCGTGGAATCTGTACTGACGCGCTGTCACACATCCTGGTGTGTGATTACAACACCCACTCAGTACAGATGTTAGATAGTGAGGGTCGCTATCTAACAGAGATAAAGACATCACAACACGGGGTAGACACACCATACAGCCTGAGTTATGATGAGGACACTCACCTACTGTGGGTAGGATCACGGGACAACAACAGAGTCAACCTATACAGAGTGGTAGATACAGACTCTCTGACTGGTAAGTAATATTGTAGTTACATGTAGTTATTGTTCAGCACTTTTATTTATAGTACATGTATTTTGATTGTTTAACAACAGTGTGTGTACACTATATGATAAAGACAATCTGATAATTATTGGGAAAGCCATTACTTATTCATTTTACGTATTGTTTTCAAATTAATAACACAACGTGTTAGTTTAGTTTGATGACAAGTAGACAAGAAATATTTCTAAGATGGGCATTTAAGAATTATAAAGTACTTTAATGATTTTACATGTAATTATAACTAGATACATTATTTAAAATATTAATTTATGTTCATTATTTATAAATTAATTAAATTTTGGATGTAATGAGTAATTTTTTTTTTTATAAGAAAAATCTATATTGCATAATGTGGGAAGCCTACGTCACCATAACGTGCGTCAAAAAAATTAAAACACATCAATGCGCTTGACTTTACTTTAAAATTATGAACAATTTGAAGGCATTTGTAAGGAAGAAATTGCCTAGTTTTCTTTACTCGAAGATTTTAAAATTAAAGCATTTATAAGGAATGAAATAAAAACTTAAAAGCGTAAAGTTTTACAGTATAATTTGGGTTGCTTTCAAATTCCTTCCATAAATAACTTTTTTGTGTTCTAGTCTAATGAAGATAAGTTTTTATCTTTGTTGACTTTGATTTATATGAACATGTCTCTCTTTGATTTTAACTTTTGTTTGGTCAGACATCTTACTTGTACACCAAACTTTACAGTATATATGTAGTAGGCTGCTAACTAGTATGAGGAATGGAAGGGATTTTAATTGTGTGGTTAAATGTTTGTTTAACTGTTTATATGTCACTAAGATTGTAAGGAAATGTTATCTAGGGAATAGTCAACTGTTAAATGGGTATGGTGGGGGGGGGGGGGGGTTAGAGATTAGGGGTATGACTATGAAAGGGAGTGGGTATTCTAATTTTTAAAAGGGATTGATATATTGGCATTCTTCAATTTCTTTCAGTACTTTGTACTTCATTCTTGAAAAAAAAAAAAATTCAACCTCTATAGTATTTTTACAGAGTTTTATAAACAGAAGACATGATTTTGATATCAACACCTTATATATTCATGATATTAGCCCAGCTCTGTGTAGGAATGTTGTTTGTTTTACCTTTAAAAAATTGTTCCTATACAAACCTATACAGAAAAAAGTCTAGCATTTTTAATGTTTTGCTGAGCTGGCATAAAAAAATCAATGTTGGACCGCTGAGTGAGATGTTGGACCGCTCGGATAGATGTTGTACCGCTTACGTCACAGAATGGGCGGAGCTTAATTTCATTTTCATTCTTTGATTTTAACAGTGACAGATCTAATGTTACATTAAGTAATATAGTACAAAATACATGTATGTCAAAAAATATAAAATAAAATGAAAGGTATAACAAAACATTTATTGACAGAGTTCTTGGACAAAATGCGTTTTGTCGGACCCTCGAACCAAACTGTCTGCCTTCGGCCTAAGGCAGACAGTTCGGTTCTTGGGTCCGACAAAACGCATGTTGCCCTCGAACTCAGTCAATAAATGTATAGTATTTCTGTGCAGGTGTGGGGGAAATCTACACTGTGTACTAGGTTGACATGTACATGTATCGTGTATATTACATCATGCATTACATTAAGTGTTCACTGATTGAAGTGGTTATAACTAAGTTGCATCATCTTCCCAGAATGTTTTAGTATAAGATTTGAATAAAAAATTAATGATTTACATTGCAGTTGACACCTTCTACTTCACAACATGTAAATGTTACTTAAAAGATGTAAAAATTGTGAATATGTTCCTGACTAGTGTACTGTAATCAAATCTTAATATAATGTCAGCCTTCCAATTGATATGGGGGAACACAAGGAAAATAATGTTGAAATGCTAAAAATTTATGTCTTAATTTCTTATGCATATTCCTATTTTCTTTTTAAAAGGTCTCCCTGTGGAGGATTTCAAATGCAGGACACATCCAAGCCGTCCATTATCCCAGTTCTGTATCCCGTGTGACGTCACCTTGTGTCAGGAGTGCATCAAAACCTCTAATGATCATAAAAAACATGACGTTAGAGATGTTGAGAAATTATTCAGAGAAATTCACAAGAGAAAAGGTTTGTTCTGATGAAGAATGTGTTTTATTTAAAAAATCTAGACATTTATTTTTGAGAATGTACAAGTTTCAAGTTGCCAGGTGTTGTATATGTAATTAGTGAGGCCACGCTCCTACTAACACCAGCTAGTGGGTTAAACTTTTAACTCAGTCAGTAGAGCGTTGGATTTTAAATCTGAGGGTTGTAGGTTCAAGTAAAAGTGTGGACTCCCCTAGCTAATCAGTCATAAGAGTTTACCTTTCCATTAGATCACTAGATTCAGGTGAACTTAATATATTTCTTTTTTTGTGTTTGTCCAGCGTGCCTCTTGTGCTAGCATTTGAAAATTCTTTCCTTCTCTTGTCAACCAATTTTGGGCACCTTTGCTGGAAAATGGTAGAGCATATGCTGTAGAGTTGTTCCCTGATAGTAAAAAATATGGAAACATTCTAAAGAAGTGTCAATGTAAGTTTATTCAACCCCTCCCTGTTTGTGGGATAGATGTGGATCACTTGTATCTTTTAACTTTAAATACTTAAGGTATACGACCCATATTAAGACCAAAATTTCTAACCTTGAATATCATTTGTTTGTAAAATATCCTTTATATTATTTTAAAGCATTTTAGAGAAGAAAGGGATTTACCAAGAGAAATTTTCAAAAATTTAATTGCATAAGCAGAAATTAATTATTGAAGAATGCATTGAAGACTTTGGAAAGACGCAAGTTTTTTAAAATAAAAAAAATAAATACTTCAAATATCAAAAAATTCTGTGGGGAAAAGATGTATTTGATAAATCTGAATAGAAGAAAAATTAGAAATGATTTATTTACCAGACAATTTAAAAAAAAATAATTTTATTGAATAAAATCAAAGGGAGATAACTCGTCAAGGGCAGGGAAAGGTCTTAAATTAGGACATATCCCACTCTTACATTCTCATACTAAAAGATGAAAAATAGTTCTAAATGTACTGAGTATTCAGCCCATACATATCTATTATGCATTCAATTCCATTAAATCTGGGGCTAATATGGATCGGATACCTTAATTAAATTCTTCTGCTTTTTATCTAGCCAAAACTACAGTGAGTGTTGTGGTACATGGACTTTCTGTTTATTTGTAGATGGAGATGCAGTTTTGATGTACCTTCTGCTCTGCCCTTCATACAAATTAAATATTGAAGAACAACACTGGATAGAAAAGTATAATGCTGTTGCTGAAGTATTCAAGTTCAAGAAGATTAAAAAGCCGTCCAATCTTAGCAACTTAAAGAAGTACAAACCAATACTCAAACAGGATAGTGTGAATGTTGAGTTTTCTTGTGATTTCTTTAAGCACACCAGTTTTCTTAGATTCGCTAAAAATCCTAATTTTGTGGATATATTTCTGACCTCGGCAGAAAAAGACAACATTGCTGAGTACTGCAGGTCATGGGCCTATCCAAAGAAAGAGGGGGAAGTCTTTTGCTGGTTATCACCACAACAAACAGAACAATTGATAGAAAAACTTGGAGAGGATATTTTCATCCATCCAACATGGCAGGATACAACAATACATGAGGATGTATTTAAAAATTGTATGTCCTTCCCGTAAATATATACTGTGTAAAATGAAGGATAGGGAGATAACAAACAGTAATCAATATCAAAGACCATGAAAACATTGAAAATATACGTAGATTAGCCCAATCAAAATTTGTTACCATCATATACTCATCAAATAATCAGTATAAAAATTAAATGGCATAATTTGATCTGTAGTTTGATACTCGGATCCAAGATTCTATTTATTAAAAGAATGTTTTAAGCTTGAGTCATTGGTGTATAAATTACATAAACTAAATACAAATGCATATTTCAGGCTAATTGATAAACAAATATTGTCAATTTTTTTAAATAACTTTTGATAATGAAGAAAAATTGCTTTGATATTTAATTTTGTGTATTGCCATCAACAAGATTTTTTTCTGAGCTTGTTACTAATTTAACATATGACCATGACCTCCATGTTTGACCTACTTATCAATATTATTAACTGTCTTTGCTTATAAAAAGAATACTTAAAAAAAAAACAAGTGTGCATAAACTGCATCCTTTTGCCTTGAAAATTTTGATTCAAACTAGTAGAACATCGATACAATGATAGGTGTTTTTTTTTTTATTAAAGTTGGTGTGCCAATGCAGATTTTAATAAGAGGAGAAGAGTCAGTGAAGAATTTCATTGAAAATCTGAAGAAAGGGGAGACAACCATGTACCATGCCTCTGGGATGATCATTGGGTGTGCAGGTAGTGGGAAGTCAACCCTACTAGAAAGACTGAAGGGCATAGATCTGAAAGAAATCCTGGAAAGTTCAAAGTCTACCAGAGGAATTGATGTCCAGGCTGACATATTTGATGTAACTGGAAAAACAATCAAGGGTATGATTTTAATTCTACTGATCAGAGACCAGAAGAGATTATGCGTTAGTTATGTGTCCAGCGTCCATCTGTCTGTAAACAATTTTTCAAAATGCTACTCCTCCTACAGTTTTGGTCTGATTTCAGTATAACTTGGCACACAATTAGACTACACTAAGATATACAATCCTGTTAATCATTTTTTTTTATTTTGATGAACATTATTGCCTTGGTTACTAAAAATAGAAATTTCTGTAAAATGCTCTCAAAAATGCTACCCCAAATACAGTTTCTGAGACTAGTTTAAAGGGACTTAATCAAGGATCATTATTCTATTTATTGCTGTTGTAAAGTTTCAATTCCCCACTGCTACTTTTCTATTCCTTTGCTATAAGTACAAACCAGTAGAGCTACAGTCTCAACAGAGACTTCTGGTTTAATCAAATCAGATGAAATATTCCAAATAATGTATTATAATAAAGACATGGTATATCGCATGTGTTACAAGCACTCCCACATAAATGGTATGCCATGACTGTAACACATAGAATTCTCTGGTAAACTTAACAGTTACTCTGCAGAAAAAAATACTGTAGGATCTATGTCTAGATTATATTGAACAAAATATGTTTGTGAAACACTATGCACCCAGCAACAACAAAGTTCAAAAAAGCTATTTTTAGCACATTGGTCACAGTCAAGGTCACAGTCATTGCCCTTGGTGCCATTTGAAAGAACAAAGTTAGTGAAGTTTACATACCAAATATGCAATCTTTATCTCCTAAGGTTCAAAAATTAAGGCGAAAGTACGACAAAGCTATTTTTAGCATACAGGTCAGAGTTAAGGTCACAGTCAATGACCCTGATGTCATTTTAAAGAACTCACTTAATGGAATTTGCAAACCAAATATGCAGTCTATATATCTTATGGCAAAGGTACAAATAGACTATTTTTAGAATAAAGGTCACAGTCAAGGTCATAATGGCCATTGCCCTTGGTGTAATTTGAAGGAACTTAGGAGTATGCATATTAAATATGATGTCTCTATAATCTTTCATGGTTCAAATATTATAGTGAATGTTCAAGAAAGCTTCATGTATTTTAGCATTTATAAAGGTTACAACCAAGGTAACCTTGGTGTCATTTGAAAGAACTCAATAAGTGAAGTATGCATACCAACTATAATATGAAATTTCTATCTTTCATGGTTCAAAAGTTATGGCGCAGGTTAAAGTTTGCAGACAAAAAACTATTTTTAGCATAAAGGTCTCATTGAAGGTCAGAATGTCATTGACCTTGTGTCATCTGAAGAGCTAAATAAGTGAAGCATGAAAATATGAAGTCTCTGTCTTTCATAGTTTAAAAGTTATGGCTAAGGTTAAAGTTTGCAGACAAACTGTCTAGACAGACAGGACAAAAACAATATAGGCCCCAAATCTATCGATGCGGGCGCATGAAAAAAAACACAGTACAAGAGTTCAAGATTTACTTGAAACTTGGCGTAAAGATTGCTTACGCATGTATGTGTGATTCTGCTAAAAGACTAGAAGGTCAAATGTAAGCAAAAGATGAAAAGATAAAAGAAAGATAAATCATTTTTCCAAGTTTTTATTAGGTCACCTGAGCACCTGGGGCAAAGGGCGTGGTCTCAAGGTCACTTCAAAGTTGACCTAAATTTACAAATAATAAAAATGTTTATATTTTGCTTACTATTAGGACTAGGATCGTCAAATCTTGTAAGTTGATGCATCTCAGGACTTCACTTCATGTTAACTCAAAAGTAGATCATACATGTAGTGACCTACTTTTTCACTTTTGTAAGCATTTGTTTTCAAATTGATTTGAAGGCATATTTTGAGCACTTTAAGGCCTTTGATCATCAAACTTTGTCAGTTGATGTATCTTGGGTCCTTGAACAATGTCAGCTTAAAAGTAGGTCACTGTGACCTACTTTTTGAACTGTATGACTAATTCTTTTTAAAACATTTTATCCAATTATTTCAGACACTGAGAGGTTTAGAATCATCAAATCTTGTGAAGTGATGCATTTTGGGACCTTTAAACATATTCATGATAAAGTAGGTCACTGTGACCTACTTTTTGAATTTTGCAGGCATTTGTTTTCAAATTGTTTAAATGGCATATTTTGATTACCTTTTGACCTAGGATCATCAAACTTGGTCAGCAGATGCATCTTGTGACTTTGAATAATGTCGACCAAAAAATAGGTCATGGTGACCTAGTTTCAACATTTTATGGCTATATTTTAGTATCTTAGGTATTTATTGGCTTAGAATCATCAAACTTTGTGAGTTGATGCATCTTGGGTTTTTGGTGAGTAACGAACACAAATTAGGTCACTTTGACCTACTTTTGACATTTTATGGCTATATTTTAGTATCTTAGGTATTTATGACTTAGAATCATCAAACTTTGTCAGTTGTTTGCTTGGGTTTTTGGAGAGTGACGACCAAAAAGTAGGTCACAGTGACCTACTTTTTATATTTTATGGCTTTATTTAAGTATCTACAGATACTTATTGGCTTAGAATCATCAAACTGTGAGTTGATGCATCTTGAGTTTTCGGAAAGTGCCGAACATAAATTAGGTCACTGTGACCTACTTTCGACATTTAATGGCTGTATTTTAGTATCCTAGGTATTTATTGGCTTAGAATCATCAAACTTTGTAAGTTGATGCATCTTGGGTGTTCAAAGAGTGACAACCAAAAAGTAAGTCACTGTGACCTACTTTTGACATTTTATGGCTTTATTTAAGTATCTACAATCAAACTTTGTAAGTTAATGCATCTTGGGTTTTCAGAGAATGATGTCCAAATGTAGGTCACTGTGACCTACTTTCGACATTTTATGGCTTTATTTAAGTACCGTAGGTACTTATTGGCTTAGAACCATCAAACTTTGTGAGTTGATGCATCTTGGGTTTTTGGAGAGTGACTACCAAAAAGTACGTTATTGTGACCTACTTTTAACATTTTATGGCTTTATTTATGTACCTAAGGTATTTATAAGCTTAGAACCATCAAAACTTTGTGAGTTAATGCATCTTGGGTTTTAGGATAGTGACAGCCAAAAAATAGGTCAAGGTGACCTACTTTTGACATTTTATGGTTTTATTTAAGGATCACTGGTACTTATTGGCTAAGAATCATCAAACTTTGACAGTTGATGCATCTTAGGTTTTCAAAGAATGTCAATCAAAAAGTAGGTTACGATGACCTACTTTTGAAATTCTCAGGTACTTAATGCCTTAGAATCATCAAACTTGGTCAATTGATGTATTTTGGGCTTTCAAAAATCGCCTACATGTACTAAAAATTAGGTCACAGTGACCTACTTTTAACATTTTATGGCTATATTTAAGTATTATCCAGTACTTATTGGCATGTTTAAAAGGCATATTTTGATTACCTTCAGACCTACAATCATCAAACTTGGTCCACAGATGCATCTTAGGACTTTGAAAAATGTCGACTAAAGTGTGGGTCAAAATGACCTACTTTCGACATTTTATGGCTATATTTAAGTACCTTAGGTATTTGTTGGCTTAAAATCATCAAACTTTGTAAGTTGATGCATCTTGGGTTTTTGAAGAGTGACAACCAAAATGTAGGTCACATTGACCTTCTTTTGACATTTTATGTCTATAGTTAGGTATATCAGGCAGTTTTTGGTTTACAATCATCACATTTTGTCAATTAATGCATCTTTGGTTTTCAGAGAATGTCAACCAAAAAGGAGGTCACGTTGATCTACTTTTGACATTTTATGGTTTTATTTAAATATCTGGTACAGGTAAACTTCGGTATCTCGACATCGGATATGTTGACAACCTGGGATATGTCGACGTCCGCCCAGGGTCCTGGCTTTATTTACTATATTAATGATTTGCAAAAACTCTGATATGTCGACCTCGGTAATGTCGACTACCCCGCTTATCTCGACGTATTTCACAGTCCCAAGAGCAAAATGTACCTGTTATATGTCGACATCGGTGCAATTTTCTGCTAATTGTTTGTAAGCTGGTAGCTCGTCATGCACGGACGACTCCTTGTAACTCGATGTCGTCAGAAATTCACACCTTTCACACCCATGTTTTGACTACATACTGCTCTGTAAAAAATGTGTTTGTAGAGGAATCCCAAGCCCCCTCGGCATCTCTAATACGTTAATTGTTTAATGTTCAGCTTGGGTAATTATCATTGATTAATCTTCTCCATTCTGTGTAAATGTACAACTGTTTATTTGTGTCGAAATCTAACAAAAATTAAACTTAAACATTTTGTAAAAAAAAAATTAATAACTGAATAACAGTGAACAATATACACAATGAATTCAGTTTAAAGTAGTTCTATACCCGCACTACGTCATTTACGAATAGTAAAACCGGAACCGCGCTTCCTTTTTCCGAGATGAGATTTTTAGCTCTTCTGAGCCGAAGGCTCAAAGAGCTAATGCTATGGCCATTTGTGCGGTGTGCGGTGTGCGGTGTGCGTCGTGCGGTGTGCGGTGTGCGGTGTGTGTTAACTTTTCAGAATATGGGCCATAACTCAAGAACCCTTTGGCCAATCTGTGTCAAATTTGTCACAGGGTATCCTTGGCCCAAGGGCTACCATTTATACTAAAATAAGGGTTGGGACCCTAAAACAAGGGGAGATAATCAGGAAAACAAAACCAAAAGTACTGGTTGCAAAAAATCTTCTTCTCCAGAACCACCAGGCAGATTTTCACCAAACTTACATACAATGATAAGGATATGTTGAAGATTAAAAATTGTTCATGGCATGACCCTGGGGCAAAGGGCATGGTCTCAAGGTCACTTCAAAGTTGACCTAAATTGACAATTAATGAAAACATTTATATTTTGCTTACTATTAGGACTAGGATCATTATATCTTGTTAGTTGATGCATCTCAGGACTTCACATCATGTTAACTCAAAAGTAGGTCACGGTGACCTACTTTTTAAATTTTGTAAGCATTTGTTTTCAAATTGATTTG